AGTTTGGATAAGTACGATGCTGTTATATTTAAAAATAATTCAGCAATTAATTTTTTTACTATACTTTCATGAACATGGATGCATTATGAAAGCTTCATTATGCTATTTGTTCACTCTTGAAAATAGTACTTTAAGTTATTATTTTTGGATTTATTGGAGTTTGAATGTATCGGCACCTTCTGAAGTTAAAAATGAAAAATATTAAAAATGATTTATAGAAATACAGAGTATTGGGTAAAGTCAAAATAAATCATAACAATATGTCAAAAATATTAAACAATTAAATAGCCTCCTATTTAACCACCAAATTCTAACTGGATCCATATGATTTTTGCAACCTTTACAAAGTCTAGCAAGATGGCCTGAAGATGACGAATGGGACTTCGTCGAAACGTCGCCAAGACACTTCCAATTTTACGCGGGAGAAAACCCAAATAAACCAAAGGTTTTCGCGGGTGTTTGTATGTAGGTCTTTGGTTATTTGGGTTTTCTCCCGCGTAAAATTGGAAGTGTCTTGGCAACATTTCGACAAAGTCCCATTCATCATCTTCAGGCCATTTGGAAACCCGCCCTTATTGACAAAGAGTCCCTAACCCAAAGAATGACACCAGACCCACACTCACGAAAACCACACAGGATGTCACCACCACTCATCCATGCAAAAAGCAAACCCAAACCCACACCGATGATGAGGCACGACCACAAACCAGAAGCCAGACCACAGCTGCATCATTAGCCACTTTAAACCCTGCCAATCCATACATGAAGCAAACTGACACCCACCATGAAGATGAGGCACTACCATGAACGTGAAGCCAAACAACAGCAACGCAGTTCACCATCTCAAATCCCCCTGCAACTCAGACTAACTCGAGCACAACAAAGCCCCCACCCAAACAGAACACTCCCGCAGCCAATCAGAGCACAGCCAACCCCCATCCAATCAGAGCCCCGCCCAGTAAACTTTTCAGCTCATCGAAGAACACCATGAGTCCACTCTTTTTCACACACACACACGGAGGGAGGGAGAGGGAGAGAGGAAGAGAGAGAGAGAGAGAGAGAGAGAGAGAGGAAGCGCAAGTACCTCTCTCTGTCTCTCTTTGCAAATGGCAGAGGAGGCTGGGAGCCTCAGGGGAAGGCTCAAAGATCCATATGCGGCTCCAGAGCCGCAGGTTGCCGACCTGTGCCCTAGTAGATAGTACTGGTGAACACATTCATCTTTGACTAATATAATTATGAAGGGTATTGGAACAGACAGGACCAATCCTATCTGTATATAATTATTCTTAACAGACTTCTGAGGTTTTCAATGCTCTGTCCTCTGGGTCTCTTTGAAATGGGCCGTAAATACTTGAAATAAATATGTTGATTACCATAAGCAGATGAAATGCTAGTAGATAAGGAAGAAGGGTAGTTCATGTGACGGGATGTACGTAATTACTGCTAATTACTTTCAGTGTTTACCATCAGCTTTTTACCATACAGTACCATGAAGAGAAAAAAGTTCTGTCATTTGAAGTGATGATTTTGATGAGGCAGAATCAATGCCTCTGATCACATCTTATGATCCCTGAAAGATCACCTGTAAACAATCTTTCCAGATATGTCAGAGAGGAGTAGTACCCATCTTGGACACTACTTGAAAACACCCTGGCAGCAAACAACTAAATAGGGTCCTTCAGAGCATCAATAGAATTGTGGAACAATCCAGTAGATCTTTGTGGCTCCATTTTCTATCTGGATCTAGCTTTCATTATTTTGAGCTGTCTCGCTTTTAGTTGTTTAGAAGTAGTTTAAAGCTGAAGAAATTTGGTGTGCCTTCTTACTATCCCTTCTCTTGATTATTTTGTATCTCCCCACTCACATATGGATCATATTTCTCTGATTTTACTATATATGAATGATATAATTTTTAACAAGTGAATCACTTTCCCCAAATTAATCAAATTGTGGAAACGATGTTGAATTAATCAAATGTGTCTATAATGTGTATTTTTCATTCAGAGTTCTGATGAACAATTTGCAACATTTGATGTGTTGTTCTTATGTATATTAAGAAAGACACTCAACTCTATCCACCAAAACTTGCTTTTCCAATGTCCATGTTGATGTAAAATTCATTAAATAACTTTGTTATTTAAAGTTTGTTTTTCCTTCTTTTGATTAATTGAAATGTCTCATTCTTGCAATGTTCTGTTTGATTTGTGTCATTTTTAGATTATTTTAGTTCAGGCTGCCTGTCCAGTTTTAGGTTTCGTTGGTTTTTATGGATTTTTTATAAAAAAATTACTCTGCTCAGAATTCATTACAGTTAGATGGCTATAATAAATTTAAATAAAATAAAATAAAAAACCAACAAGGAAACATTGTGGTTATTTTAAGGACCAGTAAAATGAAGGAAGTATAAGAACATCTGGATGTGAATCTATGTCATTATATGTTACTGCATTCATCCTTCTTAGCATGCAAGTGTGACAATCAAACTGCATACATAATAACTCAAATAAAAAAGAATGAACTGAGTGCAGCATAGAAGTTTTATAAAAACCATTAAAACTGTTGATTGAAAAAGTGTATCTTAACTCATTTTATTATAGTGGAGAAAGTGAAAACCACAATTGTCTATGGGAGGGCCTACTTCAACACACCTCAATAGCCCTCTAGAAATGGAAAGATTTTTTAAAGTGTTGACACCTAACATGTTAAAATTTTTGATGAGGAAATTAATCTTTTAGACAGTTAAATATTAAACTATTAAATATAAAAAGCACATATATTTATAATTTCATTAAAGACTAACAAAATCTATTTCCAAATAGAAGCCTTTATTTTTTTATATAAACAATTAGTGATCAATGTAATAACATAAGCATCCTCTTATTGCTAAGCTAATTAATGCTTCCAAAGTAATGTAAGTTCTTTTCAGCATTCTTTTAAAAACTGTATTTAAAAACTTTCTGGAGTCTTGTACATAATGTAATAAAGCTGTAAACAGTATAGCATAAAATGATGCTACAGGGAATGTTAAATATGAAGCACCCAAACTTTACTTAGCATAGTATGATTTAGAAAATAACTGATAGCAAAATAGTTGATATTCTAAAATACAGATGGTGTGACCTCATGCTCTTCTTTCAGCATTTCCAATCACAAAACAATTTGCTCTTCACTATTAGTGCAGTGAACAGTTATGAACTGTCCTATAGATTGCAAATTCCTAGGTTTGAGAGAGCTTCTGCAATTCTTCTGTATTACCAGGCCAAATTGTGGCAGTACGATTAAGCTCTAATTTGAAGTGGTGTTTTTAAATATAATAATAAAATCCTATAGAAATTATCTACAAAGTTTGGCGGGGTGTGCAAAAATTGAAAGTAGCTGCGAATTATACAAACACCATAAAAACTAGGAGGAATTCTCCATTTCAAACACACGCACACAATCTTTTTTTTGTCATTCCTGAAATAAAAATAAGTTTTAAAACACGGATCAGTAATTCACATCCATGTCTACCAACCACATTGCATTGATAGCTATTCTGATTTCATAATAGCATAAAATGTTGAACTGTAGCTCCTGATGGTTTTCAACATTGCAAAATCCACTCACTGATTGAATCAAACTGATGGGCCAACAACCAGGACACTCTGTATAGTTTTGTTTTGTTTTTTGAAGTCCAGGTTGCATTTGAATATGAGGAAATTTATGTAGAAATCATATCAACTTTTTGATAGAAGACGGGGAAGCCTTTTAGCTAGAAATCAAAGAGAATTTGCTCTTTAATGGACATGCACTAGAATGAAACTTGACAGCAGAAATAGTATGAAAAGTTGGAAGGAATACCAATAGGAAAGAACAACTAGATGCCCTGTAAAATTATGCTCTCAAAGCAAGGTTTTATGCCAAATAGCAACACAGGATAGGAGACTGAAGCGTTACTGAGTTCAGATATAAACTGTGATTTCTGGTGGTTTTCTCGGGTCAGCACATTACAGTCATATGAGTCTTAGGAAGATCTGTTTTGACTCCATTACATCTGATTTTTCCATAATGCGTTCCATCAGTTTTCTACCCGTCTTGGGAACAGGCAAGCACAGCCGACGTCAAACATTTTGACTTTCTATTTGGCTCACAAGGTCCCAAGCCGAACCGGAGAAGAACCGCAACAACTCATCCTATTTAATAAGGCTGCGGTTAGATAGACAGCCGTTAACAGTCTCCCGGCTTGTCACAAGAGTTTACCACGTCTTGCTTCCTTCCCTTACTGCGGAAGACGAAATAAACTCAACCTATTTTAAGATTCTTACTGCACGTATATCAAATAATACGATATGGACTAGTCAGAGATGAACAAAAGTGAAAATAGTTAATTATAAATTTTAAAACCTGCAGCAGAATTCCTAAGCGAACCGTTTTCCGCCGGGAAATGGGCAGGGCGTCTAAACTGTTCGAAGAATGTGAGACATTAATATATAGGGTCATATGCAAAACCAGCGACGCTCTGCAAACTGCGGATCAACTTTCCAACTGAATAGAAACGATTCACAGAGCAGACGGCTGTCCTAAAGGTTGGAAGCAGCTGCAAAAGACAAGCTTTTAAAATGCCGCAGGAATGCAATCGGCGCGGTGGGGTTTTGTTTTTGTTCTTAAATTTGGTTCTTCTCCCGGCAGTTAATATGACCTTGGCCGGCCCAGGGAGGTGCAGAGCCGGGAAGGAAAGAAACAAAAGGGAAATAGGAGGAGGAGAGGAGGGAAAACGGGCAGCAGAACAGAAGATCCCACCCACATCCTTAAAGGAAATTCTCTAGCTGGAAAGACGCACAACTTTCGCATGACAAGTTGCAACCGGCTCTCCGGGGAGTTCCCTTTGCAGGGGGAGGGAAGAGGAAGCGAGATCTCCCCTGCCCGACGGAGGGACCCGTAGTTCCCTGCGCTCGGGGAAGCCCCGCCTCCTTCCTTCCTTTCTTTCCCTTCCCTCCCTCCCCCGCTTTGCACGGAGCACCTCTCATACACGCTCCGTCTGTCAAACAGACACACGTTCGAGCCAGGGCTCTCGGGAACTGGATCTTCTGGTTCAGCCTACTTCCCTCCCTTCTCCGGGACGCAATGGGGGATCCGATGACATCACTGGCTGAGCTCTCCCCTTGCTCTCTCCCCTTGTAACTTCTGTTCTGGGAAGTGGTGCCAGGAATAACCCAGTCCGTCTGCAGATCAGAGAGGCTCCTATTATCCAGCAAGGAGGAAAAATACAAACACTCGCACACGCAACCGACAACTGCGGCCTCTCGGCCTCTGTCCTTTAAGGCTGATATATTTATAGACATACCTACACATACGAATATATGCGTGTGCGGGTGTATATGTATTTGTATATTGTGCGAGAAAGACAGCGCGCGTAGGTATTTTTATTTTATTTAATCGAGGAGAATAAAAGGAGAAAACGATGATCGATTTGAACAGAAACATATGAATTCAGATACCCGTTGGCTTGTGGAATACCTGTCGCTATATAAAGCAAAGCTGCAAGGCACCTCACTCCAGACTCAGACTTAGTAAGGGCGCAACAAGAAATGACACGCGATGCAGAAGGCTTTCCTTCTCGTTGACTCCCAGGTGAGCTCTTGCTGCAAAACATACCTGCCTGCCTGCCTCCCCCACCTCGTTTATTTCCAATACTGAACCCTTCTCTTTGGGGGAGGGAAAAACAACTGACAGTTCTTTGGCGTGGCCCTGATCCTTGTTACCGGAGCTGCGTTGGCCATAAAACAGGGAAGCGGAGAAGGGGTAGAACTATTTCATTAGCTGCCTTTCGGGGGGGAGGGGGGAAATAGAAAAGCAAAGGCTCGTAGTTGTAATGATGCACTGCCCTGTGTTGTCTTTTGAGCAATAGTTGGAAATATTGGGTTGCCAAGTGAGATGAACAGGGAGTGGTGGGTGACAGCGTCCGGCTCCTGGCTATTCAGTTCCCGCAGGGGAGATAGGGTAAGTGTCGGGGGGGGGGGGGAGGAAGAGAGGAAGAGACAAGACGTATGTGTAACCTGCTCGTCCCTCGCTTCGCTTGTCTTATGGATACGGGGCTTGTCACAAGCCTCCCGTCACAGAGAACGTTTCTCTACTGCCTGCGATGCAGCGCATATTGACTAATGGAAACCGATCTTGCAGAGACCCTTGCGAGCGTCGTCACATGCTGTGGAAGAGGACGCCACCCCAGGTTCCAATGTGGCGCGTCTTGATTTGCATATTAGAAGTTCAGACCTGGCAACCTGACTGAAGAGCTGCCTTCCCTTCCCTTTTCCCCGCCGGTAGACAATCCGCTTCCCCCTTTCTGTTTTGTGTGTGAATGTATGTGCGTTTGTGGATGCGCGTGCGCGCGCTCCTGCGCGCGAACGAGGTCCTTTGCTCGTGGCCTACTGTTAGGGAATGTGGGGAATACCCAGCATGTAAGTGTATGCAGATTAAGGAGCAAGCAGGCTTGCGTAATCTCCTCCTGTGGGGAAGAAGTATGTGCATGGTTACTAATGAGCAGATGAGGAGGCGGAGGAAGAGGACACAAGAGCTCAAGAGGAGGGGACGCGACGCGGTGGTTGCTGCCGCTGGGGTCCGGGCTGAGGCATCGCTCTGCCCATTTCAAGGTAGCTTAGTGGCGAGGTGAAGAGGGTACGCGCAAGGCCCGGGCATTCTGGGGGCTGCTGCGAAGGGTGGCGGGCGGCGGGGTTGGCTTATCGGAGAGCATTTCAAGCCACTGGCTTCCACGGGTCAGGGTGACTTGGCAACCGCCTGAGCTGGCTTCGTTTAACTTCTTGTGGCTGTGGGGCGGAGGTGGCATGTGGGAGCTCCGGGTGGAGGCAGAGGAAAAAAAGCGCGTGGCGGCGGCGGCAGCAGCTGTGTGCGCGGGGGAGGAGGGAAAATGAATGTGCAGTGCGAACGGAGGAGGGGGGGGAGGGCGGACAAGCCGAGGAGAAGGATATCTCTGTGTTGCGCCTTTATGTCTGTTCCCTGAAGTGGGTGGAACGTTGGCCCGTTCCGGGAATGTTCCATGACGTGTAAAAGCCACAGGAAGGGGGTTAACAAGGGGCTGTTGCTGCTAGGGCTGCGAAAGCAGATGTGATCTCCTTCTCTCCCCTCTTCTGCATGCTGGCTTCCTTAGGGGTTTGCAACGAAATCTGGCTCTCGCCTCCGCCCCCTTTCCCGTTGGTAGTCTCTTGCAAACAAATGTTTTTCTTATATAATAGGTACGCATATGGATGTATAGATACGATTATGTAACCTACAGACTCTCATCTATGCTTGCTCCATGTAATCTTCGGCCCTTAAATATCTGTGCGGAAGTGTGAAGGGTGCGGGCTGGAGGATAGGTTGAGAAGAGTCCCTAAAGTCTTGCCTGATACTGTCCTTGGGGAAACTGAAGGAGGAGCGAAGGGATAAAAGCCAGTTCTTGCCCTTTCTCTGTAGGGTTTATTGCCTCTGTACTTTAATGATGGGAAATTAACATTTAAAGGGGAAGCCCCTGGTTTAAAACTGATCCCCGATACCACCTTTATTCCAGAGATCTTCATGAAATATTTAATATTTTAATACTTAAAATATTTCTCAGATTCAGCATTGCTGTTCCTTGCTTGAATGATACAGAGTGAAGTGGGGAAAAATATGTTATCTTTTCTGTTTTATGTAGGTCTAAGGAAAATGCTGTACATAAAATTGTTTAGGACTAAGAACAGTGTCCTAGTGTCAGACTTCATTTATTTGTTGTAAGGGAGAAGATCTTGATAGTTACTTTTAAAAACATTGTGCATCTATATAACAGGGATGCCTTTGTTCTTTTAAATGGTGCATTTCTCTTTAATAAAATGTGAGACCGGTAGATAATAAGTCTATAATGTATATATAATGTCTTCGTCTTCTTCTTGTGCCATATCCGTTATCGGACGTTGGCGATCATGTTGGCGATCCTGTTTTTATCTTTTATAATGTCTACATAGTCATAATGATTTACAAATAAAACTGTTTAGCAGTTTGCAAAATATTCTCATTCTTTTGCTATTTAATTAATCAGTTGACATTTTTTCCTGAACTTTCTAAAGGGCTTTTACGATTAGATTATTTAATAGTAAATATTGCCTGTTGCTATTAGGGTTAGAAAAAGGTTGTGCTTAGTAAGATACCCATTCACAAGTTTCTAAAACAATCAGTTTATAGCATTCTATTCATTTAAATGGAATGGCAAAAAAATACTTTTACAACCTTAGTCTTATTATGATGGAGAAACATGAGGGAGTTTACAAATGGAAAATGTGAATGAGACCCATATTTTATTTTTGTTTTATTAAAAGAAATACATCTACAATATGTCTCAAGCTTTGATTTTTTTCCACTTATGCTATTGAAACAATGCTTTTCTGTATAATAGAGTAAATCCTATAAAACACTATGGAGCAGTGGTTCTCAATCTTCCTAATGCCGCGACCCCATAATATAGTTCCCCATGTTGTGGTGACCCCCAACCACTTATACATCACCGGGTGCCAGGGGCATGGCCAAAGAAAAGGGGAAAAAAATGGCGGACAGCCTTGTTTAGCGACCCCCATGAAATGGTCGTTCGACCCCAAATGGGGTCCCGACCCACAGGTTGAGAACCACTGCTATGGAGGTTACTTCTGAGTATGCATGTATAAGATTGCTCCATCTAGCTCTTTGTCAAAAAACTACCATTCAATAAAGCTTCCATACTCTTAAAATTGATGCCAGTTTGCACCATTTCTACATAGATTAAAAATGTTCTTAAAATGTCTCTGTTATAAAGTGAAAATAGTCAGTTGTCATATACTGTACTCAAATGAAATGTTGGTTGTGCACCTGCATGTTACCAGTTTTTCAAATTAAGGAGTAGGACTGGAAGTATTATTTCTAATAAATGGTACTATTTATAGAATGTTTCCTAGGATCTGATTTTTGTCATAACCTCCAAATTTACTTTTACTTTTAGTATTTCCATGTTGTGTGAAATTTGAAAAACAAAAGATTTATATAGTTTTTTATGCTAATAGTTTGCAGATTATAAAGTAACCATTGAAATGCAATATATTTATTATTTGTGTTTTAGTTTAATATTATAAAATCTCAGTTGGGATAGTTTTACCTCTTTGAAACAAGGACACAAGATAGATCCAACAAAGATTACACATAGTAATGGCAAATATTTTAAAAATAGTGGAAAAAGAATATATGAATTGTATAAAGTGTGGTTTTGTTACTGAAGAGGGTTTGAATTTTCTCTTATGGTGAAGTCTTAATTAACAGATACATTTGGGAATCAGTTTTAATGAGCGATTCTAACTTCTCAAGAATTCCAACTTTGTACATGGCTTTGTTATCTATTGCCACCAGATTGGAATAAACAGCTAGGATTCTCTACACCTTTGCTGCCATCTAGTGGCTATCCACATTTTTGCAGCCCATATTTTGATTGTAAGCTGCCCAGAGTTATCTTGAAGTAAAATGGGCGACCTATAAATTTTATAAATAGATACGTTGTTGTTCAGCCTTATATACTGTATTCCTTTTAGTAACAATTGATTTTGAATATTGGGATGCAAATATTGAGGGCAAATTGTTTCATGACGGTAAAACCTACCAAGTATTGTCCAAAAGTTTTGAATATGTCCCCCAGTACTCTTCAGACGTGATCACTGAAAGAGAGAAATTATTAAAAATATGATCGGTGAAATCTTGCTAACATTTCAAGTTTGTCTTGAACTAGCCCAGTTGTTGGTTTTTGACAACTCAGCCTGAAAAAGTGATGAGTGTAGATAGAATTGATAGATTTTACAAAGCTCATTCCTCCTGTAGGATTATAATGAATGAGCTTACTTGTACGAAAATTATCCTTTATTTGAACAGTACTGGAGTCTTCATCCAATTTGAATAACAGTTGAACTTCGTAATGACACACTTCTCTATATATTTAACTGTGGGGTTTGAATTTGTGCAGCACGCTAAGCTAAAATGTAGATTGTGTGTTTGTGGTATTCTATGTATGTACAAATACAGCTCCTGCATTGTAAGAGCTATCTCATGAGCCTCATTTTAACTCAGAAATTGAATCTCTGTTTTCTCAAGCAGCATCACATTGAGTAATCTCAGTTGATAGGAGATGATTCTGGTGGGTGGCAGGTTTTGATGAAAAACTGTTGATAAAAGAGCAGGAAAGGAAGTTAAAAAAGTCAAAACCTGGCTGCCAGCTTGAATTTTTTTGATGCCTCCTGCCCTCCCACCCAGCTTCCTTGATGGAAACAAACTGCCAATTAATTTAAGAAAGCTCTTATGATGTCTGAGGACCAAATAAAATTAAATGTGCCACTGGTAATATATGGCTAGTAACACAGAATGTGAGAGATACAAGAGGTTGAAAGACATGAATTAAAAAATATATATTTAAAAAAGTGGGAGGGAATGTCAAAGAGAAATGAAACAGTATTGTACCACACTAGAATAGAGTATAAACATTAAGAAGGTAAAGAGTATCAAGCTGATGAATTGAAAACCTTTTGATTTTCTGAAAAGCTGCTGTCATTTAATCAGTTATGTACACCATATTTAGTATATAGAATACTATG